ACCCCAAAATAAGGTACCCTAATCTTGGGGTTGGAGACTTGAGGTCGGGGCTTTAGGGGCCCCTCAGACTCTGCTCTTGGGCTTCTGAGAGAGCTCAATTTGCATCTAAACTCGAAGCCCCAAAGTCGCAAAAGCCACAGCTCTCCCCGCAGAAGCCGTGGCGAGGGTTTTTTTGGGGTTTAGGGTTTAGGATTTAGGGTTTAGGGTTTAGGGGTTGCGCTTGGCTGAGAGCTCCCTGCACGGACGCTTGGGCCCAGCAGGGTTCGGGTTTGAGGAGTTGGGGGTCTCCGAAAATAGGGGACCCTAATATAGTACCCTAAATAGTAGGATCCTTATTATAAGGGGCCCCAAAATAAGGTACCCTCATTTTCGGAAAGTCCCAGTTGCGCCTGGCCAACGTAGCCGATCTGCTTGCGGTAAGACTGAACGTTGATGCTCCTGCCAAGCCCCCCGACGACCCTGGTATCCTAGGGTTTAGGGTTTAGGGTTCAGGGTTTAGGGCTTAGGGTCTAAGCCCTAAAGCCCCAAACACTAGACCCTGAACCCTACCGAAGCACTAACACTCAAGCCAACAGCCTAAATCTTAAGCCCTGAAACCCCCGACGCGGAACCCATGAACCCTCAACTGGACCCTGAACCCCTACACCCAAGGAAAGTTGGCCTCTGCCTTCTTGCTTTGGGGTTTCGGGTAACTTAAGTCCTGGGCTTCTTTTATGGGATTTCCTCTTGGAAGTGTTTTGGCATGTAGAATTTAGGGTCCAGCGTCTCAATTGTATTTAGGACACCAGGTTTCTAGGGTAGGGCTGGTTTGAGACGGGTTGGTTTGCTCTGGGCACAGGGCCTTCTCGGGTGCCTTGGCCTAGGGTTTCGGGTTTGGGGTTTAGGGTTTAGAGGCTTGATGTCGCATTTGCGGCGCGGCAGGGAGCAGAATCGAAGCCACCATTCTCGAAAACTCGCTGAACCCCAAACCCCAGAACAGAAACTCTAAATCTCCACACCTGAGGAAAAAATCCTGAACTTACCCCAACCAAGATTAAACCTGAACCTACCCCCAACCGCCTCAGATCCTTCCCATTCACGAGCACTTTGCCCTCCGAGGGGTCGTAGAAGCGCTCCAGCAGCGCCATGATGGTGCTCCTTGGAAGAAGATGGTTTCAGGCTCGGGGTGTATATTATGTCGGGCTTAGGGTTCAGGGTTTAGGGATCAGGGTTTGGGGTCTAGGGTTTAAGGTATAGGGATTGGGAATTTGGGTTTGGAGACCGATGGTTGACACCGTTACCATGAACTCCAACCGGCGGAGCATCTTCCCGCTGCCCGACTCTCCCACGACAGCCACCTTCTTGCCCTGCGAAGGACAAGGGTCTCTCGCTTGAGAGGTTCGCCAGGGTTTAGAAGCGGTTTGGGGTTGGGTCTAATACTTCCAGGTGGAGGCTCTGAAATGCTGCTTCCAGTTTGGGCATCTGCGGCTGAAAGGTGCAGGTCGTGGAATATGTTAGCTCGGGAGTTCGACACAGCACCAGGGTTCTGTTCAGGAGAATGTACCCTACACCTGGACCTCGAACAAGCGCAAGTGGAAAATTCAACCCAACCCTGGACCCTAAAGCCCCAACCCAGATCTGCACAGCTTGAGGGATTTAAGAGTTTCGGATCCCCAAAGTCTGCGGAGTGTGCTCCCGACCTTCTCAAAGAGAAGTACCTAGTCTATATGTTGGTCTTGAGGCGCCCTTTAAAAGCAAAACAACTTTAGAAAGGAGCCCGGAAAGAGGCCTTCCGGAAACTAAATAGCAAAGCCCTAGCCTGACCTTCTGACTCGTCAAAGATAAAAACAGGTACTGCTAGAGTCTAAAATAAGGACCTGGGCAATTAGAACAGGCTTTCGGGGCACAGTATCTTAGATTATAGACATGATAACAAGGAACACAAAAGACTAAGGTTGCTTTTGCCCCTACACGAAACCTTCAACTCCCCAAACTCTGCAGGGTCTGCGGCCGACCTTCTGAATCGTGAGAGAGAGGCCATGCAGTACTGTGATCTCCGGGCGCGCGGGGTAGGCAAAGTGCACGTCCTCACTTGAAGTCCCCAAGCCGACATCCCAAAGCTGTGAACTCAGAAACCATTCGGGTCGAGGGCCTAGTCTTCAGGGTTGAGGGTTTAGGGTTCGGGGTTGAAGGCTTACTGTTTAGGATGGTGGGCTGGGGCTTGAACCATAAGCCATTTCGGGAACCCCTGTCGCCCTTGTAGAACCCTTACAGAAACCTGAACTGGACAAGAAATCTCCCATGGAGGAAAGAGCCGCTCACGTCCTCCAATTGAAGCGTCTCGATGGGGCCGATGACTTCACGGTCATCACGCACTCCTGCGGTTTGGGGTTGAGGGTTTAGGGGAATCGAAGCGTAAAACCGGAACAGCACACTTCAAAGCCCTACGTTGGGGGATCGAACCCCCGAACCCTAAGCGGTATGTAGGCCCTTTGCCTCAAAGAGCCTGGCAGGAAAACGGAAGCCCCACCTCTAGAAAGCCCGAAACCTCTAGACCCACACCCCACCCCAAAGAGCCTTCTGCCCGAAGTCCTGGCCTCACTAAACCCCCGTAAGCCCCAAACCCTTACCACGGCTCTGCCAGGCAACTCTTCTGAATCGTCGACTCACGGTTCACCTTGGCCACTAGTTAGATTGAGGGTGTAAGACCAAAACTCCGAAGAAGTAACTCCAAAGCACAGAATCCAGATCTTCAATACTCACCTCACTTAGGAGCTAAGGCTCAGTGTCATGGAATTGGAGCTTAGACTGCAGGGTCTTGGGTTTAGGAACCAAGGTTTCTAGTCCCGGGCCTGCAGTACAGAGCTTTTTGTTCGGAACCTCGGGCTTCAGGGTTGAGGCAAGGTGGACCCAAGAGCGCCGACGGAGTAAGCTGATGTCCTCAAGAAGGTTCGACTCAGAATCTGCATCTGACGCCCTTCAAACTCTGAAGGCTACATGTGACCCTCACATCCAGAATCCAGCTGGTAGCAGATGCTGAGAAACCCGGAGAAGAACCCTCCGGGTGTCCTAATGTCTGCTTGGAGCCACACGAGGGCCGCCGTCTTTCGCGTGAAGATCATAACTTGTAGCGTATGGGGTTTGAGAGTATCTGCTGGGACAAAGCCCTGATCGTTCGGCCTAAATTTTGGGACCACCTCATGCATGAGAGTGAGAGGGAGACACCCAAAACTTTGCACTCGCTCTGTTGTCGAATCTCATGGCGAACTTGGCATCCGTCAACATCATCGCAGGCCCGAAGGAGGAGAGTTGCCCGCTTTGCTGGAGAACCTGGATCCGACGAGCCCAGCGCTCGTGCCTTCGGCTGAAGATGTACGGATACCGAAGAAGCAGGAAACGAACCCTTTCTGAGGAGAAAAGCTCCGACAGCAAGCGCAGTTTCGGCTTCAAGTTCCCGTCAAGGCTCAATCCGAGCAAAGGCGGAAATCTGGTAATAACTCTACCAACCTCAGCTTTCTCCAGTCCCATTTCCTCAAGCAACTGGATCTTCCATTTCAAGTTACTTTCGATGTTGCATGAAAGCACTGACGGATAAACTGAAATCACATCGACAACCTGAGCCCTCGTCATTCCTAGCTCTCCAAGCCACTGGGTCGTAGACCGCAAACCATTCTCGATGCTAAGTCCTAGCGCTGACGGACATCGGGCAATCACTTTGACAACCTCCGTTCTTGTCAGTCCCAGATCTTGAAACCACTGCACCGTGGGCTTCAAGTTCTTGTCGATGCTGAGTCCCAATAAACCACCAAAGCGAGCAGTCACTTGGGCAACCTGAGCCTTCGTCAATCCCAAATCTCGTAGCCAATGGACCGTCGGCTTCAAATTCGCTTCGATGCTGAGTCCCAAAACACTCGGATGTCGTGGTATGACTTTGGCAACCTCGACTTTCGTCAGCCCTAAATCTCGCAGCCACTGGACGTTGGGCTTCAACTTGTCTGTCATGCTGCAGCTCGCGATTGGTGGACACCGCGCTATCACTTTGGCAACCTCGGCTTTCGTCAACCCCACAGTTCGAAGCCACTGGACCTTGGGATTCAAGTTCTCCGCGATGCTGAGTCCCAACACAGTCGGATGTCGAACTATCATTTTACCAACCCAAGTCTTCGTCAGCCCTAAATCTCGCAGCCACTGGACGGTGGGCTTCAAGTTCTCTTCGATGCTGTATCCCAACACACCAGGATGTCGAGCAATCACTTTGGCAATCTCTGCTGCCGTCAGCCCCAAATCTCGCAGCCACTGGACGGTGGGCTTCAAGTTCTCTTCGATGCTGTACCCCAACACACCAGGATGTCGAGCAATCACTTTGGCAACCTCGGTTTTCGTCAACCCCACATCTCGGAGCCACTGGACGGTGGGCTTCAACTTATCTTTCATGCTGTATCGCAACAAACTCGGATGTCGAGCAATCACTTTGTCAGCCTGGGCCTTGTTCAGGCCCCAGGCTTCCAGCTGTTGCACAAGGGGCTTAAGCTGGCCTTCAACGTTGCAGCGTCCCAGAGCAGGACATCTTCGTGATAGCTCAATTGCTTGGGAAGGCGACAAGCCCAGCTCCAACTGCAACAACTCGTGCAAGCGTGCTGGGTCCAAGTAGCTCTTGGTCTCCACGGCTACTTGCGCCGTAAATTCAACTGCTTCCACTCGGGAAGTGCCGGCTGGATTGTCCATGAAGTTCTGCAGGTTCGTTCGCACCCTAGGCTGTAAGTTGCTACCATGACGTGTCAACAAGAACTGAACGACTTGACGAAGTGCTTTGACCAACGAAGCCTCTCGTCCTGTTTGCCACGGCTTGATCACAACTTCTCCTATCTCGCATAAACGCTCCAAACCACGATGGGCATGGGCTATGCGCAGCAGGTAAGACCCGGCAGGAGCTGCGTCCAGAAGCGCCTTGCTCTTGCGAGTATCAGCAGCGATGCCAGCAGGCTCCAGGTGCCGATAATGGCCGTCGTACTCCAAGAACAAAGCCGCTTCCTTTGCCTGCAAGGCACCATACACCGCCAAATCTGGGCTCAATGTCTTGCGACCCCAGGTCTCGCTGTGTTGAGCAGGGAAGTCACGGAAGAGCTCTTCGATGGGCTCCTCCGGCAGCAGAAGCACCGCGAGGTGCGACAGGAGCTCGGCCTCCGCCACGCTTCCCGGCCGTTTCCGGGCACGTCCGGCGTTCCACCAGCTTGGAGGACTGCGCACAGCACAGCAGCCGCGGGAGAACAGGGCCGGGAAGCCGGAGAGAAGACATCTCCGAAGCTTTTGGTTCGTTGGAGGCCTCATGCCGGCATGCCCCTGAGCCTGCAGCTGCATGTCCAGAAATTGTCCCACATATTGTTCGCAGAAATTGTCTCACATGACATATTACTCGGCGGAAACATCAGCGTCATTCAACTCTGCTTGAAATGGACACCCTTTGTAAATAGGGCCTGACTCGTAAACCCCTCTGGGCGAATCCGGCTTCTGCGGCAAAAGCTGGATGCTACGTGGTTCGACAAACTTTGGGGCTATTGCATATGTAACGCAGGTCTCGCATGGACTGCCTCGCCTGAAACCTAAGCAAGCTGCCCCATCCACGAACCAACCTGAATCCCGGCTCGCCTCTGTTAAACTTTAAACCCACACCAACCTCCGAACACACAACAGCAGAAGCTCACATACCACGAGACACAGGAAACACAGCTTCGAAGGGCATAGTTTCTATTGCCCCAGGCCGGGGTTCGAGTTCGAAGGCTTGATACCGGGGCCTTAGCACTGAGAATTAGGGATGATCCGGGTCCCTCGTAGAGCAGGGCCTGGCGATGAGGCCTCAAGTCAACATGTACATCCCCACTCAAGCTTGGCCTCAACCCTCAACTCTAAAACTCGCAAACTGCAAACCCCAAAATCCCCGAAGCCCTCAACCCCTAAACCCCTAGCCCCCTAAACCCTAAACCCTAAACCCCCAAAGCCCCCAAACCCCAAGCCTGTTGCTGGGGCTTCGGGGTCTGATGTTTTCAGCAGTAGTCTTCTTAAGCTCTGGGTATCAGTAGCTGTCGCCGTCATATTGTCGGCATTCTACACGCTACTAAAGCTGTTGCTGTTAATGGTATTGCACTCGTCAGGCTTCAGCCTCACTTCGCTCAGCTCTTCTTTCTGGAACACCAAACATGCCCAGCCACCAAGTAGAAGAAACGGGCCATGGACACCTGTACAAGGTCCGATTGAGGATGCTCTGAGACTGGGTGCTCTTAAGCCTGAGGGTCCCGCGGGGCGAAAGGAGGTTTACAAAGGTTCCATGAGGGAAAGTGGCAGAGAGAGGCCAGGCTGTAGAGATAACTATCAAACTGGTACTGTAAAAACGGCCATGACTGCAGCAACAGAACGAGGGACAAATAGGGCTTAGGGTTTAGGGCTTAGGGTTTGGGGCTTAGGGTTTAGGGTTTAGGGCTCAGGGTTTGGGCTTAGGGCTTAGGGTTTAGGGCTTAGGGCTTTGGGTTTAGTCGCTTGCGAAAAGGAGCTCAGTCATCGGAGAGCTTCTTCGAGGCTCGACTCGAGGCTTGCTGGGTTGCGCTGAGGGCCTTGTTATAAGGCCTGCGCAGGTTTAGGGTGTAGGGCTTTAGGTTGAGGGCTTAGGGTTTAGGGTTTTGGGTTTAGGGTTTAGGGTTTAGGGTTTTGGGTTTTGGGTTTTGGGTTTTAGAGTTGAGGGCTTAGGGATTAGGGTGCATAGGGCGAACGAAGGTTTGTTTTGCAGGCTTACGGGTCTGTTTTGACGGTTGGGATTTAATGGGTCAAGGCTTCATTTGGGTTTAGGCTGCAATTCTGGCAGGGTGTAAGCCTTGTGGGGTGTACAACTTTGTGGGGCGATGAGGCTTCCGATTTCGGGTCCAAGCGAAATTCGGAAAACCCTAAACCCTAAACCGTAAACTCAAGGCACTTTCCGTCTGAAAGCCTTTGCCGCCGCGATGTTGGCAAAGCCGGGCGCGATGTTGCCGATCATGAAGCCGCTCGTGAGGACGCCTGGGAAATTTTGCAGCTTCATTAAACCCTCAACCCTAAAGCCTACACCCCTAAACCTTAAACCCGAAGCCCTTTGTGAGGATTCAGGCCTTTAGGGCTTCAAGATGGGACTATTGAGGAGGTTCTGGTTCAGAATAGCCTGAGACCCCAACCCTCGAGCCCCTTCCTTCCAGCACCGAGAGGAAACTTGAACCTTCTTTTGCCACGCCCCGAATCCGGACGATCTAGGATTCGGGTTTCGGATTCCGGGTTTGAGAGTCAAGGCTTCAGGTTTTTCGGTTTAGGGTTCATTCAGGGTCGAGGGCATGGGGCTTAGGGGTTCACCAAAACCCGAAACCTTTCCAGCAAAAGCAATCCAAGCCCTGGCAGACCCTGAACTCCATCCGAAGGGCAAGTGAAAGCAGCCATAACTCGTCCGGAGGTAAGATCCTAGCCAGAGCAAAGAAGGCTGCGACGAGTGTTCGTGATGTTGGGGCTTGAGGTGAGGCATTGAGAACTTGGATTAGAAATCTGCGCCAGTCCTCCTTGCCACCAGTCATCAGCGTCATCGCGAACCAGAATGCCAAAGCCATCGCCGCAAAGTAAACGAACCAGATATAGCCCATGCCTGACGAAGATGGACTTTAAGGTCTTGGGATTTTCAGGGTTCAGGCATTCGGGCTTTTAGGGTCTATAAGGAAGGGTGCGAGTTCCCTCATAGGGCCTTGAAGGCTGGTTTCTTGAATCCTCAAAGGCTTTTGGGACTTTTCCGGCTTTTGATGCTTTTAGGGGTGTTCGGTTCTAGGGTTTTCTGTTTGGGGTTTAGCAGAACCGGTCATGCCGGCAGCTTTCACGACCGGCCAACGGCAGAGGTCAGCGATCTAGACTATTGGTTATAGGGCAAGGATCGCAATGACGACCACTACTGACAAGTGATAAGGCAATCAAAGAATGCCAAGAACAGAAATGGCAGCAATGTTTCTTTCATACGGCTGCGGGAGAAGAAGCTCCAGTACCTTAAGTATCCCAAAATATGGGAATCACTGACCCCAAAGCACAAGCCCTAAACCCTAAACCGCAAGGTACATTCTTTGTTATGAGTAATGCAGGAGTTTGCCCATGAGCCATTCATAGAAATTGTAATAAGCGCAGTAGTAAGAATCAGAAAAATGACAACACTTGTAGCAATAAGAAATAGTCGTTATTAGTACATGGTCACAACAACAATAGCAAGAACAATAACAGTAATCGTTACACAACAATAACAAGAACACAAACCAGAACCATAATCACAACAAGAACAACAATAGTCATTGTGGTAGCAATCGTGGTACTTAGTAATACTCATACAAACACTAACCCGAATACTAATATTATACTAATACGAATGGTAATACCAATACCAATGCTAATACTAATACTCGATTGAATAACAGTACTAAAGAATAACAGTACTAAAGTTTATACAAACGCGAACCATACGAATACCAATCCCAATCCCACTACGAACCCTGATACTCATCCTAGCACGCACACTAGTACAAATTCGGACATGAATACTAGCACCACCACTAATCCTACTACGAATACAAATACTAACACCAACACTGATGATAGTAGTAGCCATACTAAACCCTAAACCCTAACCCAAAATCCAAACAGTAGTAGAAATCATCATAGTGCTCGCCCAGGCACCGAGGCCCATCTTGATTCTGTTCCGGAGGCCTGCAGGCAGAGGCAGCTGCAGCGAATCCTTAACCTCAAAGCGAAAAACCCTGCTTTAGGGTTTAGGGTTTAGCGTTTAGGGTGTTGCTTTAGGGACTTTAGAGTTTAGGGCCTATCCCAAGCCCTTACCCTAAATCTCTCAAGAGGGTCCCGGAGCCTGAGGGTAACCCATTAAACCTTTGAACCCAAGCCGAAGCAGTTTCCGGCTTTCGGGCTCTAGGCTGTCCCCTGATTCCAAACTCCTGCCTCCTTTGGACGCGGAGGACACTGCATCAGAATATCGACGGATCTCGCGAGCCTCTTGACGAGAGCGCAACAGAGATTGATGTTTTTTGTCATTCAAGGCTTGGGTGCCTGAATAGCAGCAGCAGTAGCACTGGCAGAGGCAGAGGCAGAGGCAGAGGCAGTAGCAGTAGAAGTAGAACTAGTAGCAGTGGTGGTAGTTGCGGTGGTGGTGGCAGTAGTAGTCGTAGTAGTAGTCGTAGTAGCAGTAGTAGCAGTGGTAGTAGTCGTCGTCGTCGTGCCATAGGCAGAGCTTGCCAGAAGCCTCGAACTGAACCTCCGGATTGAAGTAGGAGTCATGGGCACTTATGGGTCCTTGAAACGCAGGTTATCACTAACATATCTGTAGCTGGAAGTAACGGTCTTACAACATCAAATGTGTATATGTATGGCTATCAAGCACTGAGACCCAAACCCCAAACTGAAACGCAAGCCGTTGATCCCGAACCCACATTCCACACCTTTCAACTCTCCCCGGTAAAGCACCTTAGGGCCTAGGGCTCAAAGCCTGAACCCAAAACTCAGGGCACAATCCCAACACTCCACACACCCGAAAGTGGCAAGAGGAACACGGCCGGCAGACCTCGCCCCCAAAGGCGACCTCGGTGATTTTCAGAGCTTCAGATTCTGGGGGATTTGAAGTTGGAGGAGCGTTAGAGAACACTTCTGGAAGGGCTTGAGCGTTTAGGGTCTACGCCGTTTAGGGTTTAGGGGTGTAGAGTGTTTAAGGTCTGGGTATCTCTTGCGCGCCTCCTGGTGGCCTGCCTTCGAGCTTGTGTGCTATGTACGGTACCGCCCATGGTGTAGTACGCCAGATTATGGGGTTTAGGGCCTTGGAGTCATTTTGCAGCTTGGGGGCTTGGATCAAGTGTTCATTGAGGGAGCTATAGTTTCGTTGGGCGGCTGGGTTCCGTTTCGGGCCTTCGGCTCCCTCGAATCGAAGACGTAACGATTCCCAGCATGTCCCAACCCCCATATAGGGGTCTAAACAAAAAGAATAGGGCTTTGGCGTACAGTATCGTAGAACTATATGGCAACCACAAGAACCCTCTCCATGAGGTGAACATGCTTTGCTGTTGTCTGGGCATCAGCTCATGATACAGAACTACACATACATACATCTTAACATCTACATTACAAGTACACACTGGTATCAACACATTCCTGTCTGAAGTGTGTGTAAATTACTAAGAATTCCACAAAACTTCACTAACTCCACCTCCTCGCCACCCTTAACCCTAAACCCTAAACCCTAAACCCTAAACTCAAAACCCTAAACCCTAAACCCAAAATCTCCCAAAACCTCCGCCGTGGCCCAGCGGCGACGGTGCGGATGGCAAAGAGCATCTCATCGGCCAGGGCCGCCGCCTTCTCGTAGGGCCCCTGGACCTCTTGCCTGGAGCTTGGGGGCTACAGAGGGTTTAGGGCTTAGTAGGTTTAGGGCTCAGGGGCTCAGGGGCTCAGGGTAGTGGTGTGGCATTAAAGGAACCTTAGGGTCGTTTCGGTGAGATTCTCAAGTGGCCATTGAGAACGCACCGACGCACGAAGAAAGCGGTGGCATGGGACAAGCCTGAAAGGTCTTTTCCCACGCAACGCGCTCGGTGCATTTTGGACGGGTCGAGTGAGCTTGGCCGTTTCAGAGAAAGGAGAACTCAGGGCTTTAGGTTCACACCCTGAACCTTAAACCGCGTCCGAAAGCCGCTGCCACGAGCCACCATGGCTTCGATACACATCACAGGCATGAATCCTGTAACACAAGCCGCCAGGAGCCCCTAACCACTAAAACTCGAAATCCCGAACCGATAATTCCCTAGTCCCTGAACCGAGAGTTAGCAGTGTTATTCCCTTGCACCCCGTTTTTAGCTAGACTATAGCATACCACAAAACCCTGCACCCCTCAAACCGCCACAATACCCCTTAAAGGAACACTCTAACCAAACCCCATTGCAACCACTCAAAGCTCCTATACTACCATCTGGCTGCGGACGAACTTGAAACTTGGCCGGGCCGCACGGCATCCAGGACGGCCTGTCCCCTGAGACCAGCAGGGAGTTGATTAGGGATTCGTTTAGAGGTGCCTTTTCAAGGGTTCCTGCTAGGATTACTTGAAGATTTTGGAGGATTCTATACGGGTTTTTTCGGGGTTCCCCCTAAGGGTGCCTGTTGGGACTTCCTCCCTACAGGATGCTTGGAAGTCTGGGGCTCCAGGTCCTTTTGGGACTCGAGTGCTCCGCTACAGGGCTCCGTCCTGGGACAAGTCGGAAGCCTCAGATCCTAAATCCCAAAACCCATCCTAAATCCCTTAAGCCTCGCCCCAACCCTGAATACCCTACCCTTTTAGGGTTCCTTGAAAAAAGATAGGTTCTATACGGCAGCTTCATCTTGGCGGCCTTGAGGCTCGAGCTGCAGGGACCGAAAGAAATCCCGGCAAGTTCAGGATGTTCCTGAAACCCTTTATCCTCAACCCCTGCAGCCCTTTAGGGTTTAGGGTTTAGGGCTTAGGGTTTAGGGCTTAGGGTTTTAGGGTTTAGGGGTCAACCCCGAAAATCCTAAACCCTAAACCCTAAACCCTAAACCGAAACCCAAGACCCACAACCCAGTGAGCCTAAAGCCTCACAGCAACCCTATGACCCCAAGTAGGGACCTTCATCATTAGAAGAGGGTTTTGGGGGCTCCTTATTATACTTATAGTGCAATATACCCCCAAAACCTATTCTAAGTATTAAGGCCCCTATATGAACCCAGTGAGCCTAAATCCTCAAAGCCCTGAACCCCTCAACCCTAGGGTTAAGGGTTTAGGGATTAGGGTTTAGGACCTTCATTCAGAAGTATAGCTTAAATCCTAATATGAAGCCCCTTATAATTTAAGGTATATTCCTCAATTAAGGGATATTGGGCTCTCTGGGTAGGGGTTTAGGACCTTCCAAGGCCCCGGGCATGAGGAACGCGCCGGCGGACATTAGGGGCAGCGTGGCGAGCATGAGGAGGGCGATCTCCCAGGACCTCGGGCGAAGCTCCAAGCCCCTGGTAAGCCCTAAACGGGTTTGGGGCTTCTGGGGCTTAGGGTTTAGGGCTTAGGGCTTAGAGTTTAGGGCTTTTGGGGTTTTGGGGTTTAGGGTCCAGGGTTTAGGGTTTAGGGGCATCTTCCAGGGCTGGTTTCGGGTGCGAAACTGAAGCTGTCATCCCTGCAAGCTAAGAGGGACTTCCCAGAAAACCAAACCCTTGGCCCACTACCCCCAAACTCCCAAGCTCAAGCCCTAAACCCTTCATCCCAAGATGGCATGCTTATAGAACGGCCCGCAAGCAAAAACGCATAACATCCCTACAGAACCCTTACAAAACCCTGAACCCGCGAAAACCTTCACCACCTGAGCGGCAAGAAGAAGCCCACAGCCAAGCCAGTGATGAGGCCCGAGGAGGACATGATCGACACCCCAAGCTTCGTCCCAAAGGCTGACAGCAGGGCTCGCGGTTCGGGGGTTTTGGGATGGGGCGGCTAGGACTTGCTTTAAACAGTTGGTTTGGAAGTTTGGGGTTTTGTGATGATATAAGGTGTTTCGGGCTTCGTGGTTAGGACTTCCTCTTGTCCGGGTTTAAGGGTTCAGGTTTTGGGGTTCAGGGTAGAGGGTTTGGGGTTTAAGGGTCTGGGATTTCGGGCTCAAGGGTTTTGGGGTTTTAGGTTGCGGTCTCCAGGGCTTCAGGTTCAGGATTTGGCACTCTGGGCTTGGGATGTGGGGCTTCGGGATAGGCTTTGAGGTCTGGGGCCTCGGGTTCAGGGTTTAGGGTTTAGGGTTTTTTGCACGACCCTTTTCCAGTCGCTGTTTTGGTTTAGGGTTTAGGGTTAGGGACAAGGCTCAGAGACCTGAATCCAGCAGTTCAGGTGCCTTCGTGGAAAGCTTCCAGATCTGCAGTCATCTCACCTTCAGGGTTGTAAGGTTTAAGGTTTTGGGTTTAGGATTTAGGGTTCGGGGTTTAGGGTTTAGGGTTAGGGTTTAGGGTTTAGGCTTCATGGTTTAGCATCCGGGTTAGTTCAAGTTTGGATTTGCTGTCCCACATGAAGTACTATACAATCCGGGACGCGAGCCCAATTGCACTGAATCACGCAATGCTCCAGCAATTCGTTTGTAACTTTAGTAGAGGGATCTTTGAAAAAGATTGTATGATGATTGTAATTCCCTGGTCAAATTAAACAGGTGCTAGGCTCTCTCGGAAGGTGTGAAGGACCTGCGAGGAACTCAACCTTGAGCCGCAGAGGGTTGAAGGATGCAGTGTTTAGGTTTCATAGCGTAGAGTGCAGGGTTTAAGGTTTAGGGCCGCCTCTTACAGAAGCCGAGTGGCCGAGTTGGGCACGAACGTTCAGGGCATTACGGTGTTGGAGCTGAGTCCAGTAAACTCATGGAAACTGTTCCCCGTCCGATGGCCTGCGAGAGCTCCCGGGCTGTGGGTGTCGAACCAACCAACATCCTGGTGGAGCATTGCATCGAAGTACCTTGCAACAGATGTCAGGGACGTTGGCACTTTCAGTTTTCACACGACTACGACAACATATATCAGCCACACCTATTGCATACATATGCTGCACATCATTGCATCGCATAGCTGTAGATGCGGTCAGGGCGGACCAAACAGGGCTCGGAGATGGACACACTGCTTGTGGATTCTCTGCGGTTGTGAATGGGTTCGGATCTTATCTTGGGCGAGGACGCCAAAACCCTAAACCGTACAGAACCCTAAAACAACCTCCTTGCGGAAGCATGGATGCCACTCTTCCGGCCCAAGGCAATGGCCTCAAGAGAGCACTCTAGCCAAGATACATTGGCCTCATCTTCTTCACCTTGCCGCACTGAGGGTACTGGGGATCCTTAGGGCACCCTAAGGGAGCTTATGGAAGTCCTACGGAGATTTGGGGAATACCGGGTCATACACCCCCGTGGACCCCCTCCTTAAGGTTCCTTTAAGGGGACCTTATTATAGAACCTTCAAGTACCCTTTAAAGGCACTCTACTACTAGTATAGAAACCTATGGTACCCTTAAACCGTTCCTTTAAGGAAACAGGCGCGCAAAAAACTGGTAGTTTCCTGTTTCCCAGGAGCATCCATAGGCAAACCATACAACGTCCACCCAGACCTCATCCGTTCCCCAAAGCATCCACGGACCAAAACCATGATAACGTCCACCCAGAACTAATCCGTTCCCCAGAGCATCCATGGGCCCAAACCATGGTAACGTCATCCACGGACCAAAACCATGATAACGTCCACCCAGAACTAATCCGTCCCCCAGAGCATCCATGGGTCAACCATGATAACGTCCGCCTAGATCACGTCCGCTCCCCAAGTGCACCCACCCATGGGTCAACCATGATATCAACCACCCAGACCTCATCCTTTCCCCAGACCATCCATGGCTCAAACGTGACATTGTAGCGTCCATGGGCCAAACCATGATAACGTCCACCAAGACCTCACCCGTTCCCAAGAGCATCCATGGACCCCAGTCCAAAACCATGATAACATCCACGCAGACCTCATCCGTCCCCACAGCATCTGTGGGTCAACCGCGAACATCCATGGGCCAACTATCACAACAGACCTCGTCCTGTCCTCAGAGCATCCATTCGCTAACTGTAATAACGGCCACGCAGACCTCTTGTGCACAAAAAGCCAACGGCACATAATGCATCATATGACTGGGACTCAGAGCATAAAATGAATGGCGGCAGACGTCCCAAGACTCCCTTCCATCCTCTTCCCATGCGAGGCAAATCCAGATCTCTTTAGAAGTCCCGCTTACGCAAGACTTCATGCAGGCTATGTCTGAACCCTAAATCCCGCTGGGCACCTGGTTGTCGACGAAGTAAGCGAACGAGAAGCCCTGCAGGGTGGCTGCAGCGCATACGCCGCAGCCGATCCTCGAAGAACGAGTTCGTGGGGCCCCGATATGGGAGTTTCCGTAAATACGGGGCACCTTAATTTGGGGTCCTTATAAGCGTACTATATTAGGGTCCCCTATTTTCGGAAGCCCCCATATGGTTTGAGGTTTTAGGTTGCTTTTTTAATCACATCGTGCACATTGAGTGGGCATCGCGTTGTACGACTTGACGGGCCGGTACAGATCAAAAACCATAAAGTGCTTTGGGGTTCTGCAACGGGGTTCGGGCGAAGGGGATTCGAACTTGGAGTACCGGGTTTTGGAAACCCTAAACCCTAAACCCGAAGCCTCGACTTCCAAACCCGATCTCCTGAACCCATTTGTCTGAATCCCTAAACCCTGAAAGTATGCCTGATTCTTGAGCCCTTGTATAGATCCCTATAGATCCCTTCAAAGATGAAGCTCTGGAAGCTTGACTGGCCCCGAGCCGAGGCCAAAACCCTAAACCCCAACCCACCTCCAAGGTTCGACCCATTGGTTGCGGTGCCCAGTTGCTGAGTTCATAAGCACAGAAAAAAAGTGTACACTTTCAGTTCCATAACGGATCATATTATCCGAAGAAGCTTAAAGTGCACTCATTCGTTTACTAAGGGTGGTGGGGCTCGGATGTACGGAACGACGGTAAGGCTTCTGAAGCTTTCGGGTTGGGGCTGTAGAGCAGCGAGACTCTCGACTCTGAACCCTAAGCCCGCGGCCCTTAAGTCCTTAAACCTGAAAAAACCCTAATCCCGACACCCTGAACGAAAAGTTCTAACGAATCTGTGTAAAACCCCCTTGTAGAACGCGTTTCAGAAGCTCTGAAACTCCCTGAAGCACCTATCTTTTGCTTGCGAAGCTGCAAGATGAACTTGATGGCGGTGTCGCCCACCTCGAGACGGCCGGCCGAAGTTTCGGAGTTGCGAAGTGCTTTTGTTTTTCTGATGGAGAGGGAAGGGCTCTGGGGGTTTAGGGTTTACGGTTTAGGGCTTTAGGGTTTAGGCTTTCGGGTTTAGGGTTAACGGCTGATGGTTTGGGGATTCAAGAAGGCTTTGGGGTTCAGGTTTCGGGTTTTTCAGGGTCTGGGTGTTGAATGTTTAATTGCGCTTGGGGCTTTGGGGTTTTGGGGTTTAGGGCTTCGGGTACTGGGATTTCGGTGCACCTTCCAGGTCCGGAGGCCGAAGAACCAATTCATCCCCTCAAGCAAACAGGTATCGAGTTTCCCTATCCTATGTCGAGTCTATCCCTTAAGCTGCAAACCCTGAGCTCTGAACGCGAAACGCTAAACCCAAACCCTGACCAGTCTCTGAAAACTGTGGAGCCAGAGACTCACATCTCAGCAGGCTGCAGCCGAAGACCCTGTTTAGGGTTTAGGGTTTAGGGTCCCAAACCGTAGAGCCTAACAAAACACGAAAAAAAAACGTGAACCGTAAACTTCTGAACCCCCCAACCTCAAGGAAACCCTAAGCCTTAGAACCCAAGTCGTAAGCCGTCAAGTGGCACTCTCCAGCATCAACTCATTTGCTTGTTGAGACATGGCCTGGCCACAGGCAGTCTAAAGGCCTATGTTTATATCTATCTCCAAAACCCTAAACCCAAAACCCTAAACCCTAAACACAAACCCTAAGCCCAAAACCCAAAGCCCTGGAAAACCCTGTGGATTTGGCTTTCTGAGTCCGGGTCGTGGCTTGTCTTTGGAGGTTTAAGCTGAAGGGGAGCGACCTCCAGTCAAGCCATGTAAGCTGGCAGGTGCGATACCTTCGTGCAATCTCCGTAGCTCCCTAGATCAGGATACCATGTTGGGTTCTGTGTAGGCTGAAACGGTATGCTGTAGACAGAGGTTGTTAAACCAAACCACCACCGGGAAACACCATGAGGTAGCTCGCCCCAGGATCGAAGCAAGGCTTCCGCATGCCGCGACCTCTGTAAGGTAAGATTCTCCCAGTCGGCACAGGGTCCAGTCGTTCGCTGCACGTGCTGAAGAAACCCGAAGAACCAACCGAACACATACCATCGCATCATCTGCGATGAAACTGGGAACATTCATTCATTGCATCACATGCGATTTGGAATTCTTGGGGTGGAGAGGCTTTAGGTTTCGGGGTCTCAGGGTTCAGGGGTTTCAGGAGCTTGCCTCCATCATGGAAGCTTGGTCAGCAGCAGACATGTTCATAAATGAAGTCGTGTCGAACTCAGCGAACATGGTCGAGCCCAGACCATCGATGAGGTCACCGAACCTCGACTTGTAGCTGGCTGGGCAGCAGGTCCAGTTCAATCTCCGACTACCCTGACATGCTAAAAATCCTAAACCCAACATCCGAAAAAATAATGAACCCAAAACACTCTAAGGCCTTAACCCTCAGTGTAAAAATATGAACCAAAATCTGCTCCTGATCCGCCAAGCAGCATGAGGCACATCCTTAGCTGTAACAGGCTCCCAGCACAAGATTTGTTGGGGCTTTCGGTTCAGGGTCAGGTTTTCATGGAGATGTTTGGGGGAGGGGGGGTTTCAGGGGGTGGGAGGACCGAGGGGGCTCAGAAAGTGCTTAGCAAGTGCCTTGTAAGAGCTCGGAATTTAGCCAGTGCTTCGTAGGCCCTTGATGCCTTCAAAGCCGGTGCGCGCGAGTTTGCTGCGTGCTTTGATGCATTCATGGAAAAGGGATATGTTGCCCGGCATTCATTGCAGAAGCTTCGAGCTTACTAATCTTTTGCTAAGCACTTACTAAGCACTCACTAAGCAACCGCTGAAACCGTTTTGTGTCACCACCATGCATGCATGTGAGAAATCATGCTCATGCCCAGGCCCCATAAACGGGAACCTGCTATGGGTAGTTTTCTAGATTGGGGTCCCTTTGCGGGTCCTGTTTACAAGGGTGCCGTACTATATTGAGGGCCTACTAGAAGCGGCCCTAATATGAAGAAGTCCCACAAAGGCCTGTATGATCTGTTGAATAGACCACGGTTTTGGGAGCTAGATTCAGCTAGATGCAGAAATGGAGGGGAATACCATTCCTGCTCCTGCCCGGACAGCTGTGCCCTATCCGGGCGCGTCCAGGGAACCCCATTCCTAATTTTTCCGACCATCTTAACCAAAACTCCCAAGTGCCAAGAGCTGGCAGCTAGATGCCCAAGTTCCTCAATTCCCAACCCTAAATCCTCAGAGTCTTGGCCTTCTCCCCTAAGCCCGCATGATTTGGGGAGCTTAGGGTTTAGGGCTTAGGCTTTAAGGCTTCTCCCCTAAATCCTCCATGAATGTGGAGTTCAGGTTTGGAAGCCTTAACCTCAAAGCCTGAACCCTGAACCTCCCTCAGGCGCCCCAAGAAAGCAACTGGAGATCCCTTTCGGGGTGTAGCCTGCAATATTTCAGGTTCCTTCGGCTCTTGGTCCATCCTCAACCCTAAACCCTATAACCCTATAACCCTATAGCCCTCTCACCCTAAACCATAAACCCGAAGTAGACTGCCTCCGAACAGAGCCCGAGCGGCAAAGGCTGACCAGCACCATGCGCCACTGCCCCGAGGAATCCGATTGCCTGGGAGCTCAGAGGGCGCAGTTTCCAGAGGCCATCGTCTACTTGGGTTTATGGTTCAGGGTTTAGGGGTTTAGGGTTTAGGGTTTAGGGTACTATAGGGGCCTTTAATAATTAATTAGAATAGGGTTGTGGCTCCCATTGTGATATAAGTATAATAAGAAACCCCCCCAAAAAGCACGGCTAATTTCTAAGGCCCCTATATTACTTCGGCTTCGGGGGCTTAGGGCTTGGGGTTTAGGGACTTTCGGTGGTCCTCAAACAAAGGGCGGCTACCCCTGGAGGCTCTGCGGCTTGGGTCGACTGCTTGGAGGTTCATGGGGTAGTTATAAGCGCGGGTTATGGGGTTCCTTTAAGGGTTTCTTTCAAGGCTTCTATAGGGCTTTTAGGGTTTAGGGGTAGTTGTAAGTGGGGTTATAAGTCCCCTAAGTAGGGTTAGAAGTATAGTTGCCCTACTTATAACCCTACTTCTAACTACCCATGAACCCCCAAGTAAGGCTTGGAACGGGGCTTGATACCTGCTCGAGGCAGCCTTTCGGTTCTATGCTGCCAGAGGGATCCATAAACCCTGAACCGTAAACCCCCAAACCTTAAATCCCAAAACCCGAAATCCTGCACCGGCAGGAAGGAAAGCGTCTAAAGGCTCTAGGGCTTAATTAGCGTCTATTCTCTTTCAGGAATCCAAAAAAAAATCAGGAGCTCGACACGGGAAACCTAGCAGATCCTGGGTTAAAAAAAGCCCAAGCCCAACGTGGGAAATCCGGGAAAGCCGAAAGAAGAGAAACCCTAAACCTTAAACCCTATTAAGGCTTTAGGGAGCCTTCTGGGGCCTAAGGGGTTTTGGGCTTAGGGTTTAGGGGTTTCGGGGTTTAAGGCTTGGGGTTTAGGGGTTTAGGGTTTAGGGTTTAGGGCTTAGTGTCAACAGGGTGCCAATATGATGATGATGCCTATCAGATTTTACGAGATAAGTCTGAACTAAAGGCTGTTGCTCGTGTCTGGTGATACTGCCTTCTTGCAGAACAGCGGCAAGAATCAGAAAGTCCGTCCACGTGGCGAGCCTCAGTGACAGTAAAGTCATGGTGCCGCTCGAAAGCCCCTGGCCATATACAAAACTGGCAAAGACAGCCATGCTGTCAGCAATCCGAAACCGTACCCTAATCCTGTGTCACAAACCCAAATCCTGCATCTCAAACCTCCCTCAACCAAAAGCCTGCATCCTTAACAACTACTCTTAGGCTTTAGGGTTTAGGGTCCAGGATTTCTGGGAAAATGTTCCAAAATCTAAGGGATAGGCCTCGCAAAGGCATGTGAAGAGCTTAGCATTCCACAAGACTCACCCTACAGTCACAGCTGTCCCAAGAAGCTAATGTGGTTAAGGGCTCAGGCTTTCGGAATTTTGGGTTGTACTGATGTGCTTCATCGGCGGAACACGGCAAGTAAAACGTAAAACAAAAGCTTTCCACCCAACATAACATGCATGAGTCTAAGCTTGTTGTGGAGGGTTTACGATCACCCTAACTTGAATCGTGAATCCCTTCACCTCGTTGCATAGACCTTCCATTAGAAGAGATCCCTGAAGCAGACCCGGGTTCGAAACTTTGCCCCACACCTTGGCTCCGAAACCCTAGTCCAAACCTTACTGCACACCCTTGACCCGAATCCCGCAACAGGAACCCCGAGACCACCTACTTACTACTTTCTGCAAGGGCGGCGTTCAAGGAGACAAGAAGCGAGAGCAGCTTGGCCACGGATGCACTTCCACCCCACCTGAAGCGAAAAGAGCACGTATACATGACGTTCAAGTCTGTCAAGTACGACAACCGTCACTGCCGGCGGAGTCGTGATCTCAGAAACCTTACCTGAAGAAGGGTAGGCCTAAACCCTATACACCTCAACCCCATCCTCTGACCCTCTCAGTCCAAAACCATAGCATGCGATAATCTCGGATCTACGCTCCGGGCCGCTGACCACCGACAGACCGAAAGACGCACAACTAAACAATCCCAAAAGTTGAAGTCGTCGTCGTTGTCGCAGTAGTAGAAGAAGAAGTGAAGAAGTAGTACCAGTCGTAGGAGTAGAAGTAGGAGCAGGGGCAAGAGCAGGAGCAGGCGTAGGGGTAGGAGTAGCGAGCAGGGGTAGGAGTAGGAGCAGCAGTAGTTGTGGCAGTAGCAGTAGCAGTGGCAGTAGGAGTGGCAGTAACAGTAGCACCGTAGTAGTGGCAGCAGCACCAGCAGCAGCGGCAGGATTCGTAGTGGAGGTAAAAATTGTACCTTCTCAGTTGATGCCAACATCTTCAATCAGAATAACTGGCAGAATGATTTGGCCGAAGAGCTCTTTTAGGCCCTCCTTCCTCTCCTTCCAAACGAAGGTTGCGGGCTTCGCGCCGAGAGCTTTAAGGATTGGGGTTTGGAGCTTTTGCGGTTTAGGGATGTTTAGGGTTTAGGGTTTAGGGTTTCGGGCAAGAGATGCTCGTGGTGTTCACCTTCGACTCGAAAGCCAAAGTGGTCTGGAGCCTAGCTCATTTCAATGCAATCTGCGACTGCAGAGCTCTTCAATTCATGTTTGGATGAAGGGGCCTATGTTTAGGGGTTTAGAGTTTAGGGGTTTAGAGTTTAGGGGTTTAGGGTTTAGGGAGACGGCTGTTCTTGCGCATCTCACCGTCCGGCTCTGGCTGGCTTCTGTCTCACGCTGTAGGATTTAGCTGAACCGTGAGTGCTTCCGGCGGGTGGTTACGAGGCATGCATCTTGCGGGGTGTATCAGTCGCGGAAGATTGCGGATGCTGCATGGGGCCTCATGGGGCGCCACAAGGAATGCCATAGAAATTGATGGGGTGCAGAGGTATACTTAGTTAAAATGCTAAACCCTAAACCCCAAACCTAACTTGAATATTTTGAGGCAATGTAGCTCCAGAGAGCATTGGTTCTGGCTTCAACTCAAGTAACTCCTTGTACCTAGACCTACTTGCAGCTACGGCCTTGCAGCCGAAGAGCTTGGAGGTGGGACCGAAGAGGTTCTGGTCTAGGGGCTTAAAGATCCGAGTTTTGGTTTGGGCCATATACTCTTCAAGCCCCCCCAAACCCCAGCACCGAAACCACAAGCCAAGTCCCAACCTAAACCTTCAAACTATCCTCTAAACCTAACGCCCCGTAAATCCTGAACCTGTCAAGACGAACCCTAAAGGTTATGTCATATGTCGCGTCTCCTTGGCCTTGCGCTGGGTCTTCTGTGCCTCGGTCTCCTTGCACATGTCTGATTAGAATCGGTGTTGGCGTTTTTTGTACTCTAATTATAGTCAGGAGCCCCCAAAGTAGTATAGGTAATTATGAAGCCCCCAATATTAAGTGGTTTTAGGGGCTTTCCTTCAACTTACCGGCAAGGTAGGTTGGTAAGCTGGGTCCTTGCAGCAAGGCTCCTCCTTCGGGATCTAAATCCGCGGCAAATGAACCCTGCACAACTCGTACTGCCAAGGCAAGCATCAGGGATCTATCCGTGCATAGGCTTGATGCTTAAGCTTGAAAGCTTAGCGTTCCGGGTGGGTATCGGAAATTAGGAGGGTTCAAGAACGAACTACTGAAACATGACACTGTGTTCAAGATCCAAACCGTGGAAAGACCATGAATCCAGAGTTACCTGTAAAAGTTCTACAGGGGTTACCGTGCGGGGTTACTATAGGCCTAGGGTTTAAAGGACATCTTATGCTAAGGGTTGCCTTACCTTAGTGGCACAACAGCTCCTAAACAACAACTGTGATTTGGACAAGACCAGACATAGCAAGTTATGTGATCGCTGCTTCAGTCAAGAGTCATACATGAACCCTCTGGCTAAACCGCAAACCCTAAGCCCTCAACCATAAACACTGGATCCTCTTTCTCTTCCGCCGGCAGGTCTGCGATGACATCTGCCTCGTCTGGGCCAGCTCCCTCCAACTTCGAAGCCATGTTCCGACCTTCGTTGCGAGTCTGAGTAGGGTTTAAGGTTTGGGGTCTAAGGTTTAGGGTTTAGGGTTTAAGGGTTTAGGGTTTAGGGTTTAAGGTTTGAAGATGTACAGTTCAAAGCTCAGCGATTTGGGTTTACGGACTTGATGGTTTGTGTTGGGTACTTGAGCCTCGGGGTGAGGAATGCTGCTAGGTTCAGAGTAGGAGGACCATCAGGGGCTCCGGCTCAACCTCCTGTGCTTATTGCTTGCATCGTGTAATCCAGGGCCGAAAGGCCAAAACACGAGAATCGCACGGGACCTCGACTATGCTTGGTGAGCAAGCGAAAGTGTCAAAAAACAAATCGGTCAATACCGGCATCCCCTAAATTAACCCTAAACCCTACTCCCTAAACCCTAAACCCTCATTCCCGGAACCCCAAGAAGCCGAAAGCTGCGCTTAAAAGGCAAGAGGCCCGGTACGCAAGACGACCTCCGCGGAGGCTCTCACTTCCTCCCCTGGAGTTTCTGATTTCGTAGAGCACACTCCAGCGGCGCAGGCAACGTGAGCTTGGGGGTTGGGACTACAAATGTCGGGCTGAACAACACTTTGGGATTTAGGCGCTTGGGATTCAAATTCGTGGTTGAGGAGACGGTGGCTTAGAAATTGAGGTTGCAGGGTTTAGGGTTCAGGGAATTGGGGTTTAGGGATGTTCGGGTTTTGGGTTTAGGGGGTCAAATGGTCGTGGTGATCCCCAGACCCTGGAAAGGCTGGTTTTCCCAGCCCCCGAGGCCCGTACCCAAGGCTGTCCAACAGGTTCTTATGTTTCTTGACAAGGTTTGTCTATGTATAGCACTGCAACTTTTGAAGGATCCTTCGAGATACGAAATAAATGCACGAATTACAGGTATTGGGCTCACTAGCGACGGACCGACACAAGGTTCCGCCGCGAACGGGAGCCGCCTCAAAAACAACGAAGGGTACATCACCTGGCAGCACATGCCATCTCCCTGGGCGGTCAGCAACAACCTGGCTGTCTGGAGAACAGGAGTACCATATGACCAAAGAACAAGCAAACACTAATTAGAGCTTCGCAGCTTCTTTTAATTTTTGCCACTGCACATCGAAGTTCTCCATTGGCTTGTCCGGCAGGAAACATCCAGTGGATGCTTAGAGATAACGTCCAGGTTCGGCAGTCAAAACCAAAAGTGCTCAAAAGCATTCCTCTTCGATAGAGATGGGTGGGCGGGGCTTCCAATCTTGATCATGCCGGTAGCATCATTCGAAGCTCAGTTCTAAAAGTCAGAGCTTCGCAGCTTCTTTTTGCCACTGCACATCGAAGTACATCCATAGGATTGGGGATACACGTCCAGGTCATCGGCAGTCAAACCAAAAAATGCTCTAAAGCATTCCCGTCTTTTCCAATTGCATACAGCCAGTGAGTGGACGCTAGCCGGCAGAGAAGAGACCATACCCGAAGGTTGGAGGGCATCCCAGCCGATTCCACTCGACTGCTTGTGCTAGAGTCGCCAAAAAACCTTGTGCTAAGCAGAGCACCTGTTTATGCATGGCCAGGGGCAGTGTTGACTTTCTACAGCACCGTGCGATCGGCCATCGCCAAGATGTACTGCATGGATCTGAGAAAAGGTGTCACTGGGGCCGAAAAACAAAGAATGCCAGAAGAGGCTGTGAAACTTACAAAGTAGAACCGTGGAACCACGTGTGTTCGCGCATGCTGCTGTGCACACTGGCGGCCAGGTTCGATTCAGCAAGAGACGTGGGTTTGGACAGCAAGAGAGGCTCATTCAAGTTGCTCAGAACGGCCACTGCGCACACGAAACTTGTCGGACTGACGGACTGTGGGACCAATGGGACCCGAAGTCCAACCTGCAACGAATTGGAAACAATGGTGCAATGAGAAAGAGGATTGCCGATTTACTTGACACAGCGTCACAAGCTGCCTTGTAATACACTGTCATTTGTCTTTGATCGACAATTTCTATAATAATTATCATTTAATGGAATATGATCATATTTGCGCCTCAAACAGTCGTATGGATGCGCTTCACCCAATTGTCCGACTGGTGTTCTGGTCGTAACTGTGACGTCGGTTTACTCCAAACCACCGACCACCGCTTCTTGTTTCTCCT